CTCATATAACAAACAGTATAAGCAATAACTTGAGAGTATAGAAAATTTTCATTTATAAATTGGGCGCTAACAGCAGACATTTTACACATGAAAATCAGTTGACATCCAAAAAAGATGAAAATCTACTAACAAAAAACTGTGCATCTAAGATGCCTACCAAAAATGAAAATATGCCTTGATCATTCCTCAGGGTTAGACGCCAGCGGGGCAACATCCACCTGCTCATATGGAATCGGCCGTGCCAATGTCACATTCGCAGCAGCGAGGGCTTTGACCCAGCCATGTTTGAAGCCCCGATTCTCAAATTTTGGCACTTCATCTGCGTAGCTTTCCAAGGCGGCCTCTTGCCCAGCTTAGAACGCTTTGGAAATCTCGGAGTCGGCCTTTTCCCTTGCCTTCTTTAATTACCCTAAGTTGGCTTCCAGCTTGGCGATTGCCTCCTAGGCTAACTTAAGCGCGTCCTCGCTGGCCTTTGCCTTTTCCTTGGCGGCAAGCCTTAACTGATCGAAATTTCTAGCTCGCTCGGCTCCAAGTCAGCTCTAGCGCGTTCCACTGCCGCTTGTGATGCCTCATAATCGGCCCTTTGAGAGACCGCCACAACCTTGTTCTGTTCATTTTCAATTTCGGCTTTTAATTGACCGATTTGTTCTATGGCGTCGTGTTGACGGCGACCGATCTCGGCTATCCTACCTACCGCCTACAAAACAAAGAAACACTAAACAAACAATTAGAAAAATATTTACAAACGTGCATGCGTGAAGACAGAAGATTGCAGATAAGACAAGTAGCGTACCGATAGGGCCGACTGAGTGGCCAAAGCAATTAGCATCAGATCTGGCTCCGCTCGAAATACGACTCTGTCGACCGGCAGGGATATCGAGGAGGCCATGCTCAAGGCCACAGCCGGGTCCCTCAAAGCCGAGGTGTCTGAAGAAATCGGCATATTTCTGACCCTTGGTTGAATCATGAATGGAAGGACCAAATCTGACTCCTCAACTTGGGGCCGTTTATCGCTTTGGTCCTCTTTGCACTCGGCTTCTCGATCGGCGGGGCGCTTTTTGCCCCTTTGTTCACCTTCGTTAGCCTGCCCCACCTGCTCCATCTCGGCCGTTTCAGGGTGAGCCGTCTCTTCGGCAATAACCGGAGGAGTAGACTCAGCGACCATGGCCGGTGTAGACTCAGCGACTGCAGCGGGTGGAGTTTCCGATCGGACGGCCTCGGCCCTCCGCCTGGTGGCCATCCTCTCAGAGTTCTTCTTCCGCGCAAGTTGTGAAAGTGATTCCCCAGCCATATATATCCTCTGGATAAGCGCCGGGGAAGATCTCCTAAGTTTGTAAAAATGTCTTCAAAGACGTCCCCTCGGCCAGATGTGGATGGAGGGTCGGACAAATTCAGTCCAGCCTCCTCAAACGCCGAATTGAGGGCTTCGTCTACCTCGGTTCCCAATTGGTCCGGGTCCTCGGTGATCTGATCGGCTACTTGTTCTTCTGCGTGTTTCGAATCGGAGGCTTCTAAACCGATCTCCTTCAGACTTTTAAAGTTGGGGAAGATGAGGGCTGTAAGATGATCTTCGCCTCTTGGAACTGGAATATGATCTGCTGCCGAAAACGTTGTGTAGGACGGCGCGTAGCGCAAGAGAATATGAGCAGCCCTTCCTTGCTTCTGAAGATTTGGACGGCCAACGAATTGCAGAGCGATTTTAATATCTGCAAGTAAAGCGTCGTCGGCCGAAACCAACACTTTCTTCAACTCGTTGCCTGCGCAAACAAAACAGTAAGTACATGAAAGGAGAGCCGAATAAACATGCGAAAATATAAGCAACTAGAATGAGCTATACGGCCACCTGGATCGCCTTTTCGCCTTGGCATGGGATCTAGGCGATCTTCACCCTCGCCGAATTCCCAATTGCCTCGAACAACGACCATCACGTCGTCAACACGCTTGCCAGAGCTGGCAAGCATGGTCACTAAATGATGATCGGTGTCCTTGGCCCTAAGAAAATAGCGTCCTAGACGGCCAGTGGACTTGGCTAAGACATAGCAATGCCGTATCGCAGAATGCCTAGGTTAATCCTAAGACGACGGTTTAACTCTATGATCCCCATTATGATGCAAAAAAAATTCGTGTTAGGCTGGGAAGGGATTAGGCCCCAATGTCGAAAGACGGCTCTCAAAAACGGATGAAGGGGAAAACAGACGCCGCCTTCAACAATCGATAGGAGAGGAAAGATGATTGTGCTCTTGTCGATCCTCTGCATATCGGTGTTGTCTTCCACGAGTGACAGATGAACGTCATCAGGGATGGAACAATGTCGTCGGAAGCTGAAAATCCGATCCGCAGAAAGGAGTGCTTTCAAATTTTTTGCCATCATAGCCGGCATAAGGATTATGCAAAACTAATAGTAAACAAGAAAATGGTATTGGGAGTGAAAGAGAAGAGAACTTACAGGGAGCGGAAGGGGTAATGAGAGACAGAAGAGAGTTGTAGAGGTCGCGAGGTGGAGGAGTTGTACTAGAAGGCGAACCAAAAAATCTTGAGTATTCAAAGTATACATTCGAAGAGACAAAGTTTTAAACCATATTAAATGGAGGCAGCGTACGAAGAGGCGGGAACTAGTAATGATGACTAGAAAACGTGTGCGTTCTGACACACTTTGGAATGAGGTTAACTGCCGAATTTTTGACTTTTCAAGATCGAAACCAAACACGCCGACTAAACAGAGTTAGTGGGGTGTTCGGGGGGCAATTGTGGTAGCCGAATAAAAGCAGATGCAGATAGGCAGTGTATATTTTCCCAATCGGTGTAAAGTATGCACTCGGCCCGCCCCTGACATTTCAGATGCCGAATAAGTTGAGCAGGGGGCCGATTAAAAGCTGGAATACGGCATAATAGGGGGGCCGAGTGCATAATTACATGACAGATCAAGAGCGGGCCCTGCCTAGAAGACCAGGAGCATATATAAATAGAAGAACGACGAACAAGAAGACGTATGTGAGAATTAGCACGCTTAACTTAAGACACGCGCAATCTAGAGAGCATATACTGACTTATCTGTCGGAGTACTAATTCTAGCACCCCCGACCGGAGTGTTCATTCTTTTTCAAGCTACCAGCTGAGGATCTCGAGCGTCCCATTGGATCCAAAGAGTATTTCCAAACTACCTTCCCGACAGTACCTTGCAACCATTTGCTCCACTCTCATGGAGATCAACTCTTGCAACAAGTTGACAAAACACTTCCGTATGCTCCTTAACACTCCCAAATTGCTAGAAGTTATGGAAGTTCATGTACAAAGTGTGCACATAGTTGAAAGGAAAGAATTATTCTCTAAGTTTCTTTTTCATTTTCTCCCAAACTCATATTCATTGCCTCTTCATCATTACTAACATGCAATCGTTCCCACTAAGCAAAAGTTCTCCCCTTGAGGCGTATAGACACCAATTTCACCCCTTTTATCTTCCAAAACATTACAATATTCAAACACTTGTTCAATAGTGTTCAACCAATCAACAAACTCATCCGAACTTAGACTTTCAAGAAATTTGGGAAGCTCAACCTTGATGTTCGCTCGACGCCCTTGCGAAGCACCAAAAGGGTTCTCAAAATGAGTTTATCCTTGGAAGCATCATTACCATTGGTAGGAGCTTGCAAATGTTGCACCATCTTGATTAATGCGGCAAGTTAACTTCTCAACTCTTCAATCTCATCTCTTTGATGTTGATTACCATTGTTCCTTCCAAATGGAGGATTCATCTTGGCTATGTCTCCCAAATTCATGGCAAAATCCCTACATAGGCTACCTCTTCTACCTCTAACTCGTTAAGCCATCAATTTGAAGTTAGAATTGGTCAAAACACTACCTCACAACACACCTCAGTCCCAACCAAAATAACATTATGAAAAGGCCAATTTCAACAAAGAAAACAAATTCGCCATTTTAGACTCCATTCCAAAAGAGAGAAAAATGCCATCATCTACAAACTGTAAATGGGATACAAAAACACAATCTCTGCCCACCACAAAACCATCCACTAAACCCACCTCTTTAGCATTATACACCAGATGACTCAACACATCCACTACCAATGTAAACGAAAAGGGGACAATGGATTTCCTTGTCTAAGATCCCTAATAGCTTTAAAACTAGCCCCTTGCTTTTCAAATAATAACTACTGATATATTAGATAAAAAAGACACCCATGAATCCATTTCCTCCACCTATTGCCAAATTCTTTCTTCTCCAAAACAAAATCCAAAAACCCCCATTCAACGTGGTCATAAGCTGTCTCAAAGTCTGCCTTACCCATCATTCTCCTAAATTATATAGTCCTCCACAACCTAATTAACCATCGATACTAAATATAGAATATTACCTCCCTCAATGAAAGTCCTCCAAATAGTAGAAATGGTATTACCCAAAACAACTCTCAACCTTCTAGTCAACACTTTAACCAAAATTATATACAAAGAAGTTACCTCGTTTGGGAATAGGTTTTTTTAGTAACTTTTTGACTTTTTTAGCTAAAATATGATGTAAAAAAAACTAGTATGTTTGGGATGACTTTTTGATTTTTTATGAAAAGATGTGTAAAAAGTAGAGAGAAAAGGGAATCTTTGACTTTTTGGCATAGGTTGTTGACTTTTTAGTTTTTTTAGTAACTTTTTGACTTTTTAATTAAAAAAGTCACTTGCCAAACGAGGCCTTGATGGATCTATACTCTCTAATTTTCAAGGAGTCATTCTTGTTAGGAATCAAGCAAATGAGAGTAGCATTTATGCAAGCATTAACAATTTCCTTCTCAAAAAAATTCATTTATATTGAACTTCAATCAATGGCAACGAATGATAATACAAGATTACCCCAATATAAGTGCATGCAATAAAAGGCTACAAGTAGATGGCATGTTATATGTATAATGTGTGACAAAACAATTAGCCAAAGTAACAAGAAAAGAAGTTGAACCAATGAAATACTTCAAGGGAAATGCATGAAGACTATACCCAAGATAGTACTTGAGTTTCATGGTAGAAGCCCTTAAGCATGGTCGGACGCAGAGGCCTATCAATCAATCTACAAATAAGAACCTACACACAATAAAGAGATTTTCTTTAGACATGTAGGTAGGGGATTAAGCAATCATAAATATGTCAAGTACAAAGCACCACTTTGTATTTATCGAAGTAATAAATGCTAGCTGATTTGGATTCCTAATGAAAGCAACGCCTTTCACATCCAAATCATAATACCAATAAAATTTAAAACATTAAATAATTACTAACAAATAATTTATCCTGTCAAATGTTCAAATGAGAAAGAAGTAGAATCAAAGGATGCAATGGATATCAAAATCCTTTCAAAAGGGGCATCTCATGATGAACTTCAGAGTTAGGAGAGAGAGATCTGCTAAAAAGATGCTAGCTCAAATGAAAATATCATGCATCAAATGCCTATATGGCCAAGCACAAAAACCATTTCTTCTCAATTCTATTTAGTACCAAGCATCACCAACAGGAAGAAAGTTATCGGGTCAGATTGAACTAGCCTACTATCACCCTCCTAAAAAGCCAATATCTCCACTTGAAAGAAACCGCCTATGAACTAGCATAGAATAATACTGAATAACAATGCATTGGTCCCCAACTAACTTAGGATGCCTAAGGAGAAACCATCAAAATTAGCTTCAACATTTCCCTTGAGGGAGATTTCCAAAGAAAGCAGACCAAATTTTAGCTTCAATATTTCCCTTTTTTATCGGTTCAATATAAATTTTTTTATATGTAAATGTGTCTCACAAAACAAAACAAAAAAAAATGACTTAAGGTGGTGAACCCTGTAGGAAGTGACCTCCAACTGGTATCTCAAGGCAAAACTGAACTGCAGCCACTCATGATGAAACCCAAATTGAACCTTCACATCCTTAGTCAACAAAAATCCGAAGGATGAAAAACAAAACTCAATCCATAACACTGCCTTAACCAATTTATTCATCATAAAAGGCATGGGTCTGTTTGGTATCATTTTTGTTTTCTTCATTTTCATTTTCCATGTTTTCAAGGACAAAAATAATGAGAAGTTTGAAAACACCAGTCATTTTCATATTGTTTTCATTTTGGTGCAAAAATAGTTTCCAATGATTTGAAAACAACTTTTTGGTGTTTCTTAAAAGTGGGTGGTTTTCAAAAAAAAATAAAAAATCTCAAAAACAAAAATAATACCAAACAAGCCCTTAAGTACATTTTTCTTACAGCATAAATCTATTAGGATACCTAATATCTCACATGATCATAGTAACTTGCATTTCTCCCCTCTACGATAGATACCGGGAAAAGTTCTGCAAACACACGGAAGGAAAAATAGGGCAGTTCAAACAAATTCTGTCGATGCCCACCTTTTCATGATGTAACATGTCCTAATAAAAAGTTTCTTTAGGTCTTCTTACTTAACATTAACAAAGCTAAATCCATACTTCTTGTTTTTTAAGGGGTGTGGAACAGAACTTCAACTTCTCAAAGTCTATTAGTCAGTAGGACGCTAGACCTAGGAGTGGCAATTTTGGGGTAATATTATGCAAATTAGTTATTGAGAAGGCATAGGATCATGTGAACTAGGACATTATGCTATATGGTCTAGTATGGATAAATTTTGGGACAAAATGTAGAGGTTGCATTAAATTATGCATTTCCACTGTTTTAAGGGTTTTTGCATAGATGAACAGGCTTAATAGAAGGCTTATTCCCAAGTTTGAAGGGGGTCTTATTATTCCATCTGCATAGAAAGCTTATTCTCAAGTTTGAGGGGCATTATTATTCAATCTGCATAGAAAGATAGACAGGTAGACAAATCAACGCCATTGTTTCCATTAGATTTCGAATAATACACTCTATTTAGAGAGAGAGAGAGAGAGATCTGATACATGCATGCGTGCACTTATGCAATAATTGGCATACATAATTGCTAAAATAAATGATAAAGAAGGAAAAGGATGATGATGAGGATGAGGAGGAGGAGAAGGTGCAATTATACTTTTAGTTAAGATTTTCCCCTTTCAGAATTTTGATTACAGATAAATCAAGATGATGTTTCTCATTAAATTATTGAGTAGATCCCTCTATTTGGATGGAGGAAAATTACTAAGAACAGCAATTAAAATTAACATCGAACAAATAAATAAAAAGCTCATCAAACCAAGCTTATCTTCAATATACATAGCATTTTAAAGACAACAAACAGATGGTAAATCTATATCCTAATCCTTGTACACAAGGCTTAAACATATCTCATAAAACTTCTAATAAACCCTAATAAGTCAAGCACTACCACTTGTTTGTGTGTCCCTTACGCACACACATATTTGTGAATTAGAGAAAGCTAGACACTAAGTAGTATGATCAACATAGTCTACCAGCGTCTTGAAACTTGTGCTTGTCTAACTTAGCTTTTTAGTTTCTTAAATAGTTGGCATATGTTAGAAAAGAATAGTGTTATACGAAGAAAAAAAAAACTTACAAACTGATGTAGCACCAATCATGTTAGTTTACTAGATCCCATTTCACATTCTAAAGTTTTATTATTGCATGCCACATCAGTTTGTAAGAAAATTTTGTTAAAAAAAAAAAGAAGGTTTGTTTGTATTGTATAGCGTTTTCTGTTAGAAAATCAAAAAACTTTATACCTCGCAATCTAACCAACATAAGCTTATTATTTCCAAGGACCAAACTCATCTAAATCAAATGGGAAATAGTGGCCACATACAAACAATATGTCAGATAAAATCAATAAATTCTCCATCTACAAGGACTAAGTTTCTTCATACTCAAATAGCAGTGACTCATACCTCGTGATCTTTTGTCCTTCCTTCTCGTTTGAAAAAACCCCCACTGAAACAATGGCAGAGCACGAAGGGACTACACAAGAAGCAATTTGATAAGCTGACTAGCAAGCTGGCTATGGAAGATATCTTCAAACCAGCTTGAGGGGGAGTGCTAGAAATTTGTGTTAATGTATATAATAAGATGGTGGCATGTATATAATATGATAGTGGTGTTGGTGGTAGATAGTGGCATGTATATAATATGATAGTGGTAGATAGTGGTAATATATAATATGTAAGTGGCATATAATGGGTTATAATGATGTTTGTAATATCTCCTATATAAGGAGTGTCATTTGGTCTTGTAAGATAAGAAGTTTTGAATATAACAGAATCATATTTTCGGAATATGATTCTAATAAAGTCCAAACAACAAAAAAAATGATAAAGCAATTAGTAGAGCAGCAGTAGGAGCAAACATCTTCAGCACATAAAGTTTTAATGACACATCCGGCTGTAAGCCTCCAGAGAGCAAAGAAGTGCAATCTTGCAGCATAGAACAGTAGTTCAAATCAAGATTAAGGCACTAAAATATGATTCTGTTGAATAGCTTGATATACATTATTTGGATCCATCATTTATTATGACACCCAAATGAATTTAGTACCACTTGCTAGGCCTAATATAAGAGAGTGGCCCAAGTCCAGGAAGAGGGCCTTGCAAGTTCCATAGATAGAACTTCAAACCTTCACCTACTAGTTAAGATATGAAACTTCACCAGGCAAACTCCGATTTAATAGCTTGCAATAACCAGACACTATATTGTGTCACTTGAGGAATTCATTTCAATTGAAGACTTGCATGTATGCACTATTTGCCTATAAAACTAAAATAAGCAGCTGTGTGCAGGTCTAAACATGATAACTAAGATAATGACATCACAATGAACCCTTGTCAGATCTAACTAATTAAAAGGAAACTTCTAGTTCAGCAATCAAACTAAAGCCCAGATCCAGAACGATATTAATATGTTTTGACTTTTGAGAATATTAAAATTTGAAACAGGCATAGATATGCACTTACAAACATATATGCAGATGTATATGGAGAGAGAGAGAGAGAGAGCCATATCATACAGTTTCTCCATCTGTTACTGTAACAGCAGCACTAGCTTGTCTTCCCATGTGACCTGTCTCAACCAATATCTGTGAAAAGCAACAAAATCACATATTTATACAAAGAAGCATAGTTAAAAATGTTATTTCCTTCCTTTTAGTATTGATGAGCGAGTGTATATGCACAAGTCTTATGCAATCAATTGGATCATATAGGTAACCCTTCAATACAACATAGGTCCTCTAAAGGGCCTCAATAAACAGGTAAAGGCAAAAGGACAGAAAATGGATTCCTTGGAGAGTGCATATCCACTCTACTCAGCTTAAAATCACGGAACAACATTCGATGCAGTAATTTTCATGAGTTACTAAGAAGGAAGATGAGACTCTTAACAAAATCAATTCCAAAGAAACGAAAATGGTCTATCCATACTCGTATAAAAAATCAAGATTATGCACAACAATTTTCAATAAAAAACTCAGTATCACTTATTTGTAGCAATGTTGATGCAGATAACACAAGGCCCAAGGAAGAGTAAAATTAAAGAATAGCTTAACTTTCAAAATTGGCATGATTTCATACTGCAGCTGCAGGGGCTATTAAAATTATAATTATCATAGCTTTTGGCTTAGTACAGTCTTATTTAATGATTATCAAGGACAATTTTGAACCTGGTTAGCTTTTCATATGTTTTACTCTGTTTCATTTGTCGGGCAGGTTGGAAACTTTCATTATGGGCTGTAGAGTGGGCAAGATCCAATAGGCTTTTCTTTGTGGGATTACTTATTTAAGTCTGGATCTGGTTTGGTAGGATTTAGAAGTTCAAATCCAGCCCAACTTTTGGCTTTTGTGTGGTCATCAAGTTGTTGAAATCCCTTATGTGATGTACTAGCTTATTGGGGCAATAAAATGAAGACATCTTATATAACCTATTATTTTTGGATATGTTGTCGTTGTGAAGTGAAGCCCCATATAGCCTAAATACAAAGAAATGTGCAGTATGCAAGCGTGATGGCACCCTCATTTTAATAACTAGCTTTTGGGTTGAGTTCTACCCGAAAACGTGTAAAATGGTATAAGAGCCGAAAGTACTTAGGGATGAGTAAGGTGTGTGTCCCTGGCCTGCACCCTGCCAAGTGAACATGTTGCGTGTGAGGGAGCGTGCGAAGCAAAGTCCTACATCGTCTAAATACAAAAGAAATGTGCAATATATAAGCATGAAGGCACCCTCATCTTAATAACTAGCTTTTGGGATTGAGTGCTACCCAAAACTGTGTACCAAATGTATCTCACCTTAGGTACAAATGCCTAAAAGAATAGATCTGATTGCGTAAGCTTCCTTAAAAAAAAAAAAATAGGAAAGAATAAACGAAAGAAAGAAGAATAAGTCAGCACTAAACAGCCAAGTATTGATCTCTGCTACCATACACAGCATCCTAAACAGCCCCAAATTCCTATAAAGCCCTCCAATTGCAATCCCTCATTAATTTCAGACACAATATTTGTAGGAGTGTGTTTCTGCATGCATCCTACATCGATCTTCTCACTGGTAACATGATTTTTAAGAAATGATGGACCGAACAACTCCATAACATGTTAAATGCGGCTTCCCTCCCGTAGCAAAGGGGGATATAGTGAGCTATCTTAAAGAGTTGTATCTTCACAATGAATTCTCATTATCAAATGCTCTATGATTTTTGTGGCCCCTCTATTCTTGAAAAAATGCAAAGGGCTAACGTGCCTTTAGAGATTGCGGGTATGTTTGGTTTGAGTTTGGGAGATGAGTTTTAGAGATAAAAAGTACGAAAAGTTGTTTGGTTTGGTTTTTTTCAAAAGATGTTTTGGAAAATTATTTTGAAAGAGAGTTTTGAAAAAAGTGATTGATTTGATGTGTATGAGAGAGAGATTTGTTTGGAAAACTTGTAAACCAAACAAGTTTTGAAAAAAAAATTTGGGAAAATTTGTTTGGTTTGATTACTTTTGAAAACTTATTTGTAGAGAATTTTTCCCAAAAATTTTTCGGAAACACAAACCAAACAAGGCCTGCATTTTAGGGTAAATTACACTTTGCCCCCCCCTAAAGTTTCACCGATTTTCTACTTTAGCCCTTTAAGTTTGATTTTTCCCATTTTGACCCTTTGTAAGAAATAATGTATAGAGAAAGAGAGAGAATAAATTGTATGTATTATTATTGATTGATATATTAATGTTATGGTTACAATGATTCCCAATTCCAAAGAAACGAAAATGGTCTATCCATACTCGTATAAAAAATCAAGATTATGCACAACAATTTTCAATAAAAAACTCAGTATCACTTATTTGTAGCAATGTTGATGCAGATAACACAAGGCCCAAGGAAGAGTAAAATTAAAGAAGAGCTTAACTTTCAAAATTGGCATGATTTCATACTGCAGCTGCAGGGGCTATTAAAATTATAATTATTATAGCTTTTGGCTTAGTACAGTCTTATTTAATGATTATCAAGGACAATTTTGAACCTGGTTAGCTTTTCATATGTTTTACTCGGTTTCATTTGTCGGGGAGGTTGGAAACTTTCATTATGGGCTGTAGAGTGGGCAAGATCCAATAGGCTTTTCTCTGTGGGATTACTTATTTAAGTCTGGATCTGGTTTGGTAGGATTTAGAAGTTCAAATCCAGCCCAACTTTTGGCTTTTGTGTGGTCATCAAGTTGTTGAAATCCCTTATGTGATGTACTAGCTTATTGGGGCAATAAAATGAAGACATCTTATATAACCTATTATTTTTGGATATGTTGTCGTTGTGAAGTGAAGCCCCATATAGCCTAAATACAAAGAAATGTGCAGTATGCAAGCGTGATGGCACCCTCATTTTAATAACTAGCTTTTGGGTTGAGTTCTACCCGAAAACGTGTAAAATGGTATAAGAGCCGAAAGTACTTAGGGATGAGTAAGGTGTGTGTCCCTGGCCTGCACCCTGCCAAGTGAACATGTTGCGTGTGAGGGAGCGTGCGAAGCAAAGTCCTACATCGTCTAAATACAAAAGAAATGTGCAATATATAAGCATGAAGGCACCCTCATCTTAATAACTAGCTTTTGGGATTGAGTGCTACCCAAAACTGTGTACCAAATGTATCTCACCTTAGGTACAAATGCCTAAAAGAATAGATCTGATTGCCTAAGCTTCCTAAAAAAGAAAAATAGGAAAGAATAAACGAAAGAAAGAAGAATAAGTCAGCACCAAACAGCCAAGTATTGATCTCTGCTACTATACACAGCATCCTAAACAGCCCCAAATTCCTATAGAGCCCTCCAATTGCAATCCCTCATTAATTTCAGACACAATATTTGTAGGAGTGTGTTTTCTGCATGCATCCTACATCGATCCTCTCACTGGTAATATGATTTTTAAGAAATGATGGACAGAACAACTCCATAACATGTTAAATGTGGCTTCCCTCCCGTAGCAAAGGGGGATATAGTGAGCTATATTAAAGAGTTGTATCTTCACAATGAATTCTCTTTATCAAATGCTCTATGATTTTTGTGGCCCCTCTGTTCTTGAAAAAATGCAAAGGGCTAAAGTAAAATTTTAGCCTACTAAAATAATTAAAAACTAAAGGGTAAATTACACTTTCCCCCCCCCTAAAGTTTCACCCATTTTTCACTTTAGCCCTTTAAGTTTGATTTTTCCCATTTTGGCCCTTCATGTTTACAATCCTTCCCACTTTACTCCTAGATTAATTTCTATCCAAAAAACTAACAGAATCTGCCACATCACCAACACATCAGCTCCACGTGTGATGTAAATAATTCACTAAAGATGCAAAAAATGAAAAATTGTAATTCTTTTTTAGTCTTTAGTGAACTTTTTTTCAAATTTATTCATAAACATTATTACATTATAGATGCATCTAGCTTAGATACACCTAAAAAAATAAAAATAAATTTAACTAAAAGAAAGAAAAAAAAATTCACTAAAGACGGAAAGAAAAAAAAACGATAGTAAACTTTTCATTTCAGAATTGACGATACAGGTATTTGAGTAAGTATATATATATTTTTTGTCTTTAGTAAACTTTTTTCTTTTTTTAGTTAAATTTGTTTTTATTTTTTTAGGTGCATCTAATCTAGATGCATCTATAATGTAATAATGTTTATGAATATATTTGAAAGAAAAAGGTTACTAAAAAAAAAAATTCAATTTTTTTGTTTTCTATTTTTCATTTTTTGCATATTTAGTAAATTTTTTAAATCACACATGGAGATGATGTGTTGGTGATGATGTGACAGATTCTGTTAGTTTTTTGGATGAAAGTCAGTCTAAGACTAAAGTGGGAAGGATTGCAAACATGAAGGGCCAAAGTGGGAAGGATCGCAAACATGAATGGCCAAAGTGGGAAAAATCATACTTAAAGGGCCAACGTGGAAAATGGGTGAAACTTTAGAGGGGCAAAGTGTAATTTACCCTATATTTTTTGTGTGTACTGCACCTTGGGTGAAAATTCTGACAATTGATAACTTTATTTGGGGAGAGAACAGGATTACTTGAATGTGCAAAGTACAAGAAAAATACAACACTCATCTTCTTTTGAATTGGATGGGAGCGTGGAATATTTGGCATGTCTTGCTCTCTTTATTTGGGGTTCAATGGGTCTCTAGAGATGGTGAAAGACACATAGGGCAGGTACCCAGTTAGAAGTGTCAGACCTGCCTGAAACATGGCCGATTAGCCCCTTCTAGTTTACTTGAGAGAAGAAAGAGGAGCTCATTTGAGAATAAGGAGCCACCAATAGTCAAGATGAAGAGTTGTCTATGAGCTCCTTGTATTCTTGGTATTCGTGGCGGTGATCATTTTCCATGATGTTTTGGGGAAATGTAATTTGAAGGAATAGATGCTTTGTTATTGCATTTAGTTTGAGCTTTGTTTTTTTTGGTGAGTGTGCAGTCCAGTAAGCCTTAGATGCATTTTGGTTACGCCCTTCTAGGCACTTTCATTAAAATAAAATAAAAAATTGACACTAAACCAAACGCAAAATTAATCCATTGAGGGTATGCTATTGTTTCAGTAGAAAAACAGAAATGCTTACTCAAATGAAATTGACAACACTGTTCTTAGTAAGAAAAAATGCAATGTCTTAAGAGTGAGACAAGATTTCTCCCTTGTCAACATGAATTTCATTTATCAGGTCATTTGTTAGACAGAAGACCTCCTTGTTGATAAGAAGGTGACCATACACTAGAATTCAAGCAGAAATTAAATGGAAGCCAAGGTTGGAAACCCAACAATAAGACCATCTGTAGTGGATGTGTTAAGCAGCTGTTTGTTAGCTTGGTAACTCACTTTCACTTTTTTTGCTCCAATGGAGCCATCAGCTATGCTGCTAATGGTGTCAAGTGTTAAGAGAGTAAGTTAACCGTGTAGAGTGATTTAGTAGGTAGAGGAGGAGAGAGGAGAGAGAAGGTAGAGAGAGTTATACATATTTTATTCATTTTATTGTTTATATACACATTTATACACACTCAAGTAAACCTACACTTCCCTAAAACATATTTTAACATCTCCATTGCACCGCTCATTCAAACACTTAAACACACAAATATGGATCCCACTTTTACTATATACAACCCCATTTTTTAGACCCACTCTCTAGAACCACTGATGAATCCCACCCACTTTCTAGAAGTAAGATGATTGGTTGATAATTATAAAAAACATGAGAGTGACTGTTTGGTTGGTCATTAGGCTTGAAAAGTGGGTCTAATTTTTGGGTTAAAATAACACTAATCTTTACTTATTTGAACAGTTTAACACACTATTTTAGCCATTTCACTGTGGATGCTCTAAGTACCCAAATTAAACTAAGTCCTGTGCCCCAAGAAGTTCAGTACGCTACATTTTTTCTTTTTTTTTTGGGTGTCATTCCAATCTATCAAGAACCATATGCTCAGTTAAATTGATTATATGCTCAGCTAAATTCATACCCTTTTTCGCCAACCCAACAATAAGTAGAACAAAAAAATACAAGAGAAACTTAAAACCCAATCCCTATATAAAAATCCAAGCTTGACACAATTCACTTACATGCCTATCGCCGAATGGAATTTTGACAGAGTAAGGCTGAGTATACTGTGCTGCAATGCTCGCCGATTCTGAAACTTGCGATTCGACCGAGGCTTTAATACGAAATCGAGGAGGCCTCTTTGATGACGGAAAGAGAGAGAAAGAAGAAGGCAAGAGCAGAGTCTTTTGGGGGTGAAGATGGCAAGGGCAAAGAGAAGGGGAGAGAGAGAGTCTGTATCGATTGGAGTGAGTGAATTGAGGGAGTGAATGATGAGAAACGCCATGGAAGCTAGGTTTTGCTAACATTTTTGGTTCAGAGAAGAGTGTAATTGACACTGGTTGGTAAGCATGAGAGAGCTCAAATGCCAGTGAAAGAGAGACTTATCCGTTTGTTTCTCTCTAGAAAGAGAGGAGTTGATTTTCCAGCGGTTATTTATGCGCGGCGTGTCTTCGGTTCTTGACCTAACCTAGACCTTTTGTTCAAATTTCAGTAAAAAATTTATTTTTAATATAAAACACCCTAATAAATTTATGAGAAAATTGTTGAAAAATCTATTATAATAATTATTTAAGGTATTAGACTTAGTAAAAAAAAAATTTATTATTGGTGAGAGATTTATCATTTGTGAAATACTTTGGTGAAGTCATTTTATTTTCCTTATTTATTTAAATATTTGTCGAAATAAAATTCTATCTGTCTAAATTTTTTGACCATTTGTTTAATTTTTTTTTCCTTATCTATTCAAAAATCTGACCAAATTTGATTATCTGTTCAAATCTTTCTTCTCTCTCTCTGTACCTGTTGCAATTTCTTTCATTATCAACAAACAACAACAACAAAAAATCAACAACAGCAGCCACAAAAAATCAACAGCGTATCACGACCCAACCTCAAGGGCTTAGGGATAGAATCGAAACTTACTAATTCATTCTAATCTTAATAAATTAAATGGCGTAAGCAGAGGTAGACTAGAAGTAAAAAGATAATCAAACAGAAAATTTACTTTGTTAATGATCGAAAATACATCCATGGAACTTTTATTATTTTATTATGCAGTGACAAACTTTTAGAAAAGAGAAAAAAAGAAAAGAAAAACAAAGGGTAACAGTTTGACATCAATTCCGTGCGAGTTCCACTATACGGGGTTACAGTTCTTCCTTACATCTCATCACCTGAAAGGATAACAGCTATAAGTACACAACAGAGTGAGAAATATTATGCCAAGAGTATATGGGACACAAAATAATCATGGATAGTCATTTAAGCTAAAACATTAACATAACTTAATTTGAATAAACAAATTATTCAAAGTGACAGAAATTGAAATACAGAAATTATGTAAATAAATAACCATAACCATGGTACAGAATAGAACAGAATAGAGGTCACTGGAGTGACAGTCAGAACAGAGGTCAACGGATCCATGACAAATAGAGGGCCACAAGGTAACCAATTAGAAGCCAATGGTTTATTTAAGTCCTCCAAGGTATGAGACTCTCGTGGTGGTACTTACAGAAAATAATTGCTTATAAAATTATTGTCAAATAATTTCTAAAATTTAAACAAACATATCCATGGGTTTCAATTTAAGAAAATAGAGTTTAGAAAATAATCAACGTAATTAAAACATTAATAGAATTTATAAAACACAAACTGCGTAAACTAAATTATGGTAATTCAAAACATACGTAAAATATATTATGGTGACTCAAGGTATAATATAACTCACCTTTATATTGATTCCTTACTGTTACTTCGCCGCTCACCGAAATTTCCCTTTTTACGGACTGATTACATCTCCCGTACCCCTTACTTCTACCCGAAGCATCCTTTATATAGGTGCTTCCTGGGCATCTCTTTTTCATTCATTTACCTTCTCCCCCAAGGAACCACGTGGTATCGCCACGTGGGCCTCTTTTTGCTGGCATGCTTATCTGTGCTGATTCTTTTTTTATTATTATTTTTTATTTATCTACAATAACTATTGCCTTAATTTACATTGACCATAGGTCATACAATAATTGCACAATAACTCCTAATTTAAAATTAAAATACATTTTCGCATATACATTTATAAATTCAAAATTTTATTTACTTTAATTCAGCATTTGGGGTGCCACATTTCTCTCCTCTTAGATGGAAGTTTGTCCCAAAACTTAATGTACCTTGATTTTTGAAAAGGTGTGGGTATGTAGTCCGCATTTGACTCTCTGTTTCCCACGTAGCTTCTTCAACTCGATGATTTCTCCACAAGACTTTTACAAAGAGGTATAGTCTTGTTTCGAAGAACCTGATCACGACGATCGAGAATCTACATTGGTTGTTCTTCATAAGAGAGATCTTTTTGAACTTCCAAGTTCTCATAATCAACAATATGTTCTGGATCTCGAAGATACCGTCGAAGCATCGAAACATGAAACACATTGTGGACATTGGACAGTTTAGGTGGTAGTGCAATGCGATATGCCACAGGACCAAGCCTTTCTAGTATCTCGAATGGTCTGATGTAACGTAGGTTTAATTTTCCTCGCTTTCCAAATTGGATAACCCTTCTTGTTGGTGAGATCTTTAAGAATACGTGATCTCCTATTGGGAATTCCAAGTTTCATCTCTGTGTATCTGCATAGCTTTTCTGGCGACTCTAAGCAGTGCAAATTCACTTTTGGATGAGTTAGATTTTATCACTTGTGATTTGCACGATCTCGGGGCCTAATAGTTTCCTGTCTCCAACTTCCGTCTAACACAGAGGTGATCGACATCTCCTTCTATACATGCTTTGTGCGGTGCCATTCCAATGCTTTCTTGGTAATTGTTATTATAGGCAAATTTCACTAAAGGTAGATGTTCATCCCAATTACCTTTGAGGTCTAACACGCACAGACTTAACATATCCTCCAAAGTCTATATTATTTTTTTAGATTGCCCATCAGTTTGCGGGTGATAAGCAGTGCGAAACTTCAATGTAGTCCCCAAAGCCTCTTGCAATTTGTTCTAGAAGTGAGACACGAAGCGAGGGTCTTGGTCAGATACGATTGAAATTGAGGTGCCATGCAAACGAATGATTTCCTTGATGTGGCAAACTTACGAAGGGAGTATGTGATTTTAATTAGTAGAAAATGGGCTGACGTTGTCAATCGGTCTACTATAACCCATATTGCATCATTCTTCAAGATTGACTATGGCAGCCTGACCACGAAATCCATAGTAATGTGTTTTCATTTCCATTTAGGAATAGGGAGTGGTTGCAGCATTCTCGCAAGTCTCTGATGTTCTACTTTAACTCGTTGACAATGAAAGTATTTGGAGACGTGGCTTGCTATGTCTATCTTCATTCCTGTCCACCAGTAATGTTCTTTCAGATCATGGTACATATTTGTATTGCCAGGGTGGATTGCAAACCTCGAGCTATGACCTTCTACCAGTATCTTCTTCTTGAGCTCTAGAATATTGGGTACACAAATTCTTAAGCTTTGGAATGTCGGGTACTCAAATTGGGAGTTATAATACCGGGAGCGGGGTACTAACAACTTAATCGGCTTTACCGAGATTGGAGCCAGAGAGGTGAAATATGTGTAAACCTAGAGCTGCAAGCAGAAAAAGATGGATGAAGTAAATAAGCAAATAAATAAGAAATACAAAGCAAAGATGAGCAGGAAATGTAAAATTGAACAGAATATAAAGCTGAACAGAAAAAGTAAATATGAGGTGTACCTCATAAACTCTCCAGTAGTCGCCGAGTGAATTCGCCTTGCGGCGGGATACGGAGCTCATATAACAGTATAAGGTGACCAGGCCGGTGCCACCCTAGTCATACTCTGTCACCTATGATAGGTGCACCAGTGTCCCCAGAAGATATAACCCCACAGTATTTTTCCTGTTTGCAAATAGGGTAGTATCGAAGAGATACATAAGAAAGCTGCGGTTGTATTGGGCGACCTCATCTAGAGTAGCGGGTTGGGACTTAGAGAAATGATCAAAGAACCAACTATACCTTATCATTCCGTGACTGGTGATGTCTGGGATCGTTCCAAGAAGTTGACACTGTGTAGCTCTCTACTGCGTTATATTAGGATCGAATAGGATCGAACTGCCAACCCCAACCCGTAGGCCAGTGAGCATCGAGAAATCGTATGGAGTCAAAGTTAGCTCCCCGATCGATGAGAAGTGGAATGAGTCCGTAGTGTCCCACCATCTCTCTACTAGAGCCTCGTATAGCAGCGACTCAGCCTTATCTGTATGAGCTCTGAGCAGAAGGGCCAACGCTGGCAGTATCAACCAGTGCGAGAACCTCTGTGGGCAGTCTCTCATACCAACACCGGAGGCTGAATATGGATCCATAGCCACCAATCCTCCTAGCTATCACCTGTAAAATAGGGAGTATATGAAGCATTAACTAGTGGTCTACTTGTGAGATTTAACAATGTATCGAAACAAAAGAAGATTGCTTACCATGGAAGCATCGGCGAATAAGTGCTCTACGGGCTCTCACAGCAAGATGTCCTCATTTATCCCGGGGATGAGGTCCTCAAATCTCAAAATACTGCCTGGAGGTGGAGCATGTGTGCGTGGTCGGTAGGTGGCCGCATCAAATGACCTATCAACGAGGGGAGGCAACGCGAGAGCGTCCTCGGCCTCCATATCTATGCCTAAGATGGCCCCAATTCCAATGGCAGGGTCCGGGATGGGAACCTCGTCACTAGCCATGGAGAAAAGTAGAGAAAAGTGAAGAAAAAGTAAAGGGGATGAGTGAAAATAGGTAGAAATCCCAAATTTCAAACCCTAGGAGAGAGAAAGTGAAGAAATTGTGGAAAATCAAAGGGGAAAGAAGGAAAGTGTGGGCAAATATGAGAAAAACCAAGGGAAAAGCTCAAACTCCACCAAATCAAGTTTTGTTTGGCTTAAAATATAGAGGAGGGAAAGGGTTTCAAAGAAAATTTTGTGAGGATTTTTGGGTACTTCAAGGAAAGGGGAAATCTAGAGAGGGAGGGAGGTTAGAGAGAGAGGAGAGGGAGTTTCGGATGAGAGGGTGTGATAAAATAAGGGTTTGAGTTTGTTTAAAGCATGCTTGGCCCGTGGAATATCCGAAACTGCCCCTGCCGCTATCGAAGTCCGGCTGACTATTTTGAAGCCCGGCCGTGCTTTATTAAGGCCTAGTCGACTCTCAGTGTAAACTCAATTCATTTTTTTCCTTTATTTTATTTCTTGTATTATGGAGCTTTACTCTAAAAAGGAGAAGCAATAAAAAAAAAAAAACACAGTGAAGAAAAATAGTTAAAAAAGAGAGAAAAGAAAGAGAAGAAGAAAAACAATGAAAAAAAAAAAAACAAAGGAACAAAGGAAAATAAAGGAAAAGAAAAATGAGTGGTTATAAAAGAAGAATTTTAGAAAAGAAAAGAGAGGAATTTTGTTCATTTTA